TATTACTGCCTCTCTTGCAAAACCGAGCTCCACAAGCTTAGCAACTTAAATAATAAATTAAATTAAATATTTAAAACTCAAAGAACACAAATTGCACTCAATTCCAACATATTTATCCTCCTTGCAAAAAGGGCTTTTTGAGCACTTTTTTAAACGTAGCACTAACTTAATTTGGACTTTTGCGCATACTACCCCACATGATTGAATAGAAAAAATTAGCCTCCTTAATTATATTTATTTAGAAAGAAATTTTTAAAAGTTCATGTCATGGATTTCTTTATTGTTTAGAGTAGTAGTAATGGATATAAATAACAATATAAAACAATTCTTAATAAAAACTAATCTAGTATACAAGAAGGTACTAAAAAACATACATAGATTTAAGGTTAAATGTTAATTTTGGTCTCTCAATTTTATAAAGTTGCATTTTTTTTATCCTTCAATTATTTTTTACATTTTTTGGATCCCTAAACTCTAAAAATTGCATAATTTTAGCCCTTCCATCAGTTAAGTATGATGTGTCTGTTGAATGATTTAATGTGGTAATTTTTTTTAATGATGACGTGTTACTAACATATTTTATAATTATTTAAATGGAAAAATAAAAATGTCACGTAAGTTAAATATTTATATTTTAATAAAAATAAATAAAAAACAAAATTACATTATTGTCCCATCAAACACTAGCAGTTGGTGATGAGGCTTTGCAAGCCATCGTTCCACATGGAGCCTCCGTTACAACTAGATCCGACTGACCTCCTCGTGTACGAAGACATCTTCGATGATCCACTCGCTGCCTCTCACCTGCCTCCACTGATCTCAAGAACCATCGTTAATCCCATCGACTCTTCTGATCTGAGCTACTGCACTAGATTCCTCCTCCACCACCCTTCTGATTCCATGGGCCTCTCTGGCCTCTCGTCCTCTTGCAATCCTTCAGGTCTTACTGCTTTCTCTCTTGTTATTCACCTTGTTTTCCTTTTCTCTACAGTTTCTCAACATTTATTTTTATTTTTCGTTGAACGAGGCAATTTATTTGGGGGAGAATTTCCATCAAACTATTTGTTTCAGCTTTAATTCAGCTTTTGGTTAGTGTTTACTAAAACAGCAATTGTAATGTCACGCCCCAGAACTCAAATTCGGGGATGTGGCAGACGCCGTACACTTGTGAGAGGGTCCCACAAATGCACAAGTCTCGAAACTTATCATACCACAATTTGATACCACAAAATTTGAAGATAAAATTTTAAAATTTGTTCTGATATCATAAAATCTCCAAATAAATTATAGCTTACAAGATCATGATTTATATCTAAATCTATGCTCAATTTACAAGATGGCTAGCCTTCTAACTCGTCACTCCCCTCGTTTTTCCCCGTCCTTGACTTCGCTTCCTTAAATGATGGACAAGGAAAAACTATGAGATAACTCAGTAAGTAAATATGGATAGCCCTTAATTAAACTTATAGCATGCCAACCAGTATAATCACGAAAAATAGGTACGAGTACGGAAACGAAATAAACGTCTGCTCTATAAGTCATGGCTAGTGTTATAAACCTTCCACTGGCAGGCACACGATTTACTAGTGTATAATCCCATTAGCAGGATAACAGTATAATAGAAACGAACCAGTTCTATCAGTAACATGTCGACATGTGCTAGCGTTTATAAACCTCCCACTAGCGGGCACATGAATAACATGACCATATTGGAGACAAAACAGGCAGAAGTTAACAAAAAAATCATAATTCACAAAATAATTTTTAGATCATCAGGGCAGTTAAGTAAACTCCAAGAAGGCATGCTCAAATCAATAAAAAGAATAATAATTTCATTTTAAATTGATCATATTTGTGTAAAACGGGTTTAGTCCCGCCACCACTTCAAAAACAAGCTAAAATGTGCTTTAAAATCGGAGAGCATTACCATAATTTACTTACCTCAATCACATAACATAGAAAATTCACTCCAAGTGCTGGGGTGACAGAACAATCAAGAACCTAATCAAAATATTCCAAAATTAATACCGCACTACCACAAATTCAAAGTGAAATTATCATTAGGACTACCCCTAATCACGATGCTATTTCTATCGGTCTCCACATGACCGGACATCTCCAAATTTGTTCTTATATTACAAACTAAACATTTAATCCCCGTTAATTGTTGGCCATTAGTGCATGAACAGTACTCATGAACAGTGATAACACAGTGAACAGTGATTGCAACTTCCAAAAATTGGCAAAACCATAGCTAATTTCATGGGATTTTTCTCCAGAATCTCATAGCAGTCAATTCAAACAATTTATACATGGATTAAGCTTAATTGTGCTCTAATTACTACCGAAATTCATCCCCATTTTTCAGCAAAATTCGGACAACATAGGCAGCAATTAGATGGCTAAATTTCAGCAATTAAATGGGTAAATTTTGGACTTAGAGAAGCTGCCACATACCACAATTTTTCCAGCAAGCAAAATTGGAGCTAGCGGGTTGGGGAAGCCGATGGGATCTGCAGGGGAAACTCACGGATCTACCTCAAATTTGAAGGAACAAGAGGAACTTACAGTAACCCAAGTTAAATTCAAGGAAGAACAGAGGAAATAGTGGCTGTTTCTTACCAGAAACCAGACCAATTCACCCCAACAAAGCAGGAGCAACAGATGGAAGAAACAGAGCAGAGCAGAACTGAGATTTTTCTGCAAGGGGGAAGATTTATGGGTTCAATTTCAGTCCTAGAACAAGAAAAGAAGGAGAAATATCCAAGCTTTCTACCGGTTTCCTCAAGAAAATTGTTGCCGGCAGCTTGGT